CGGTATGATCATAACGTTATGAATACTTTATACTAGCAAAAACCCATTGGTTTTGAGGTGGGGCCATTGGTTTGACGAGTTGTTGAATAGTAAAATAGTTTTTTTTAGTGGAGCAAATTTTTTTTTAGGGTTAATTATCATTCTACTGACCAATTTACACATTAAAATACTCGTGCTTAACATCAAGACATAATAAGACATAAGGTTTGAAAAAAGGCCCGAAAAACCAAATCGGCTGATATGTACATCTTGTATTTAACAGTTTAATTTTTCTGTTTAATTTTATTTTTTTTAGATTCGATGGACCATGTTGTTGTCGGCGGGGTTCATTCTGAACGCTTTGTAGTTGACCTCCACATGTTCGCGTTCTTCTACACAGCACACAGCCACTCCAGTCACCGTATGTGCCCCACTGGCTGACTTGATGAACATGGTTGACGACAAGATAGATGACATAACAAATAATCAAAATTAAAGAAATACTATGCAAGTAAAAAAGATTCGAAAGGAGAATTGGTTTGTTTTTTATTCATTTATTTATTTATACATCCCAGATCAAAGGTCAATTTGATCGATCAGATTTTTTTTCAAGCCTACATCACCATAGAAGGATAAGCCTTACAAATTTGATTGTTTTAAAAAAAAAATCTTTTGTTTTGATCTTTTCTTTGTGTTCATTTATTTTTATCACAGACTAAAGGTCAATTTGATCGATCAGATGTTTTTTCAAGCCTACATCGCCATAAAAGAATAAATTTCAATTGTTAAAAAAATCATCTAAGCTTTTTTTTTCTTAATTAAAAGAAAAAAAAGCCATTTGCGAATTTCGATTGTTAAAATCTTTTGTCCTAATCTTTTCCTTGTGTTTTTTTTTGTCTATCGCTATAGAAGAATAAGCTTCATGCAAACATCAAATGTCATTTACAAATATATTAAAGATTTTTGCTAATTAGTAATATTCATATAGATGATTATTATTTTAGAAAGAATAAAGAGTAACTTATATTTTTACCACAATTAAAATATTTGTTCGTAGTAAAGTGTTTAATTCGTCTTTAAAGTAATTCTTCACGAATTCTTTACACTTTGTCTCATTGAGTTCCAGCTGAACTCTCACATTTAAACATACAGGAACACATGTTTGATTTTCTCCCTCAGGAATTATTCGATTATTGAAAATCCACCAGTTTGCAGCAAATGAGCCATAATGAAGTGTTGGTCCAAGTTTACCAGTAGCAATAAGTCAAAGTTTATGTTTTTGTGAAGACATTACAGTTTAATTGGTAAAAAATCAATTCGCGTCTGACCTACCAAAAAAAAAACCAATATGATAAATAATCAATGTGTACGCGTCGATCAAATAACAAACTTGTTTTATTTTTTTTCTCTCAAAAAAAAATGTCAAAATCTAATACTAATAAAAGAAGAAAACAAACCAATGCTAATGAGGCTGTTGCTAGGTAAGTGTTTTAAGGATGGTGGTGGTGGTTATCGTCCGCCACTCGTCGTCACTCTAGTTTTTTTGAAAAATTGGCATCATGGCACAAAAAGTTTAGCGACTAAGTGACTTGCACTATAGAAAAAGGAAAACCGAAGGTAAAATCAAAACAACGAATGTTGGGTAAGTGTTTGTTGAAAGAACGGTAGTGGTTACGATCACCACCACTCGTCATTCTAGTTAGTTATAAAACACTATGCTTTCCGCAATATTAATATTATTATTATTTACATCTATATACAATTAGAAAAAATATACTAACGGGAAAAGATAAGAATCTGCAGGATGATGATAACCTCCAAAGGCTAAAATATTTCACGAAGGATGAGAAAATATCGATAAATTTAGAAGATGGATTATCAGATCGATATTATGGACAGGAAAAATTGGAGCTAAATAAAGGAATTGATGAATTAAATAATGTATTTCCTCAAGACTATTTATGTTTACAGTCAATTCTTTTCATTTCAGAGATCACCAGCTAATATACTTTAATTGCTTCTTTAAATCAAAATTCATGGGATCCTTTATAAGGAAATCAGAATCGACCAAAACATGAAGAAAATTAACAAAGTTTTTGAAGATTTCAAGAACAATTATCAAGATCCTCTAGCAAAGGGTGGAATAATGGATCTGACACCAAAGAGCCACTTTTCAAAAAAACTTCACGCAGATCTTTACAAATCATTTCTTCTATCGTTGGAACATTTTGATAATTTAATCCCTGAGGAAACCCATGATTTTCTCGTCAAATTTTTTGGTCAGGTAAAGGATACTGATTGTCTCTGGGCGTGAATCGTCAACATTCAACAAGAATGTATTTTTTGAATATTTTCTAAGTGGATTCTCTACACATTTCTCATGTTCATCTGCAACTTGCTTCTTTTTACGATCTACTGCTCTTGATGTTGTAGTTACTCCAAGTCTTGTATCTACCGAGTCTAAATAGAATGCAAGTTCGAACTTAAAAGAGTTAATTTTTGTATTATTTAAAACAAGAAGAAGATGACATGAACACCACCATTAATCTCTTCATATGATCCATTACGTCCAAATGGCCGAGCTGCTAAATAGAGTTGACCAAAAAACCCCTTCAAGTTTGGTTCTATTTCTTAGAGCAATCTTTGTATTTCATCAAAATCGTATATAGGACCTTGATGTCTCTAGTGAAATCAATCTTTTCACTTACCTCTTCCTCTTCCCCTTCCGCATCTGTGTTTTTACTTTCCTAGATTCTCTTTTTAAAAGATTTTCTACAAAATCCATATAACAAACGTTACATAAAACAACACGTTACTTTCACTAAGTTGTTGTTCTCAGTTTCTTTCCATTTATTGCCTTTCGTTGATGAAATTTAGCTGATTCAGTGGTTTTACATTCTGTGCAATGTTTAATTTC